ATCCATCCATCCATCCATCCATCCATCCATCCATCCATCCATCCATCCATCCATCCATCCATCCATCCATCCATCCATCCATCCATCCATCTATCTTTGTATAACAAATTTGGACAAAGCCCAGAATAATCTTAAGCACACACATCATTACTTTTCTCATTTAATTTGAGGTTCAGTTTTGTTGTTCCTTTAAAGAAAACAAACTAAACCAACATTTTCCTTCATGATAACCAGCTCTCACCTTGATGGTGACCTCTGTGCACTCTGATGGTTTTTCACTGATGGACTGCATCAGAGACTCCTCGGTGAACCTGCTGTAAGCCTCGTGGACCACCTGTGAACACAAGCAGAGACAMAAATAGAACCAGAGAGTGGGTTGTGTGTTTTATGTGTGTCTGCAGCAGCACAACATATATCTGCAGCTCRGCTTTTACTCAGAGTGAAGTATTGACACCACTGGAGAAACACAGACACTCACAGCAGCACAGACAGCTCGTACTACCAGATGTTACAGGAAACACATCTGTAACTTTATTCTTTAAGGTTTGGGTGGAGGTTGAGAGGAAACCGGTCCAGAAATGTTTGATCTGACACAAACCATYAGAGGAAAGTTTTTAACAACTGATGTTTTCTTTCTGAAACTTTAAAATAAATAGAAAAGAGGGAGGTGAAAGATACATTTTGTAATAAATCCAGAACAGAGGCACTAAAACTGATGATCCTAACCAAGTTTTTCACGTCATTCTATGATTTAATTTATGAAATTTTGTCCAAAGAATCAAAAATGGCAAAAGCTGAGTTTGGTCAAAGAACATTTTTGCATCACAGCACTGAAACACGGTGGTGCCAGTGTCATGGTTTGGGTCATCTGTCTGTGAACTGCAGTTCTGTAGAAAGTGAGCAACATAAAAACCCTAAACATATTATACTTAAATCCTGATTATTATTGATTTATTGAGCTTTCTGAGGAGTGAGTGCAGCTGATGCTTCAGGTAATATTTACAGACTGTGTTTGATATAATGTCCAGTGCTGGGCTACGGTTGATTCATGTTTCTGTCTCCTGGGTAAGGTCCTGCCGGGTCGCTGACATCCTCTCACACCAGCTGTTTGTGTTTTCAGATCTATGAGGGAATCCATAACGACAGATCGATCCACAACAAAGACAGCAGCTGTCGTCTCAACCTCCACCGTCGATACAAAACACATTAAACTCCCACAAAACACGGGGATATGAGCACAGGTTATGAGATTTAAAAAAAGATACACAAACACCAAGAAGACAGCACAAAGACAGACAACAGATGATAAATAATCGAATAATATTCCGTTGGTTTAACAGTTCACACAAGCTTGAGTCAGGAAATAAATCACAGAACGACTGATGTGATTTATGATGTGAAAAAAAACATTTTCTATGTTCAAATACTGAAGCTATGGCTTTGAGGAAAATATATATATAATTTAACCTAAACAAGTAAAAAATGTGAGTTGTTTTTAAATATTTATATGATAAAGTTTGATGAATTTAAATATGAAACATTTAAAAACATGTCTTAACTACAAAAAGGCAAATGTGCTTCCGAATGTGATTAATAAAATATTTGAATCACAGTATTTGTCGAACAGGATATTTTTTCTCTATTTGTTCCCTTTTCTGTTGTTTGTTTTGTTTATTTTTTTCATCAGTAATAAAAGACTATAAAAACTAATAACAGCATTTAAATCTCAATGTGTCCTTTTTAAAAACATCATAAAAACAAATCAGTCGAAGCCAAATTCAGAAATTTAACAACAGATTGTTTGAATAWAGGCCTTTTAAGAAAATAAACATTCACTGAGTAAATGTGGCTATTTTTTCCTGACTAATATTTAGTGGGAAATGTCAAAACATTTTACTTTGTATTTTTTTGCAACAAATTAATTATGARCATTTAACACAAAATAGAGACAAACACAAAAACAGACGAACAGAGAAACACAAACAAACTTAAAAATGTTTTATCTCACATGACAAAACCCCACAGTTATACCAAATGTTTACCTGATAATTCACTCCACATAACAACACTGAAGTAAGAAATGTGCTGAATTACCTGAACAACATGTTTCATTTGAATTTTGTTTGTTTGTTTGTTTGTTTGTTTGTTTGTTTGTTTGTTTGTTTGTTTGTTTGTTTGTTTGTTTGTTTGTTTGTTTGTTTGTTTGTTTGTTTG